CCCCAAAACCCCAAAACCCCAAAACCCCAAAACCCCAATATTTATAGAGATTGTGAAGAAATTAAAACTAATACTAAATAATCAATGGATAACAATAAGTATAACAGAAAATTGCTTAAAAGGAGGTCAATCTCCATCAACACCTTGAGAATTCAGAAGAAGAAGGTGAGAAGAGTTGGAGCTACCATCAGTGACCAGATCGATGCTGAAACTCAAGGTTCTAGCTTTGAAAAGGTAACAAAACCTTATGAATCTGATACGAAACTGGTCGAAGACTATTCTGATAATTCCAGTACCTTCGAAGATGAGCTAGCATTACCAACTGCGATTAAGACAATCGTGATTACAAATAAGGCTACTCAGAAGGTTCATATCGAGGACTCTTCAAAGAAGTTAGAAGGGAGATGCAGAAGGTGGGTCAATTTTTGATGAAATCCTATTCTCCCCTTCACCTTATGCTCGCTCTGACTCTCGTATTATAGAACGCACCGTAGGCTGAAAAGCAGTTACAATGTCAGATCCAACCTTCAAAACTCCAAAAACCAGAAAATACTTCGTATGTTTCTCTCAGAATTATCCGAATTTTATATCGGGCCTTCATTGTTCTGATTTGTTTATTAAAATCCTCTAAATGACTTTTTTAGAAGATTTTCTACCAGTGTTTAAGAGCAACAGGAACACGACCATAAAGCTGTCAGCCACTCCAGGGCAGTCAAATGTTGGCATGAGGATCCAAAGAGGGTATGAGGAGCTCCCTATTCATAACCGCATCATACAGTTTCAAAAGGTATGTAGAAACCCTTTACAACATTATCGTGTTTAACATTCGTACAGCCAGTCAAGCCAAAAATTCAAAATTTTATACAGCTGTCAAAGGTAGGTTTCTCAGAAATAATCAGGCCTAGGTTCAGTTCCAAGACTCTACAAAGTATCAGAAGTTTAGCCAGGGTACTACGAAGCCATCAATCTCTTGTCGATTAACAATGTCTAAGGCTAACAGGATGAGATGTGCCAAAACCAGGAGTAAGGAGAATGAGTTAACTCATATAGGTTCCAATCGTTTCAGAATTCCAGCTAAGAAATTGAAAAAGGACATCTTCTGAACACCTCAGAAAGCTCTATTTTCAACAAAATATTCTATTCATGAGCAGAATTCAAACACTTCATGCAAGAATACGGAAGTCTCTGACTCAGGTCTACCCAGTACCGGGTTCTTTAAGCTCAATATATAAATCTTGTCCAACATGAATTATGGTGCAGCATTTAGAAGCCGCTTAATGACCAGGTAGAGACTCAAGTGACCAGAATTCCTCTCAAAATTCACAAAGCATACATACCACATTCCTCACGCTACCAATACTTCCCACATCAACGCATTTCTGCTCCAGTCCTCATTCTGCCACCTTCCCTTCAATCTCTCCTCAGAACACCTGATCAAAAATCCCAAAAGGCCTCATAATTCATAATTTTTACCATATATACCATAAACCTAATTATTGGTCTAAATTCAACATCAAAAATCTGGAATGGGGTTTTGGGGTTTTGGGGTTTTGGGGTTTTGGGG